TGTTTGTCATCCCCTTGGGTCAACCCCTTGTGCAGGTCTCAGGAGGCTGCCCCAAGGCACCTCCATCTCTCAGCATCTCTCAGCACAGCTGCCACGGCACAAACCACACCCTGTGCCTGTACTTGCACCAGGACAGGGAGGATCCCAAAGAAATCAGGAAAACCCATCCCCTCCTTGACACCTGGAGGCATCTGACCTCCTTCCTTTAACGCCAGGCTCCTGCTGCCGCTCCCCACTGCCCCCACCCCGCAGAGCAGAGGTGTCGTGGTGGAAGGACGAGGACCCTTGATCCCAAGGGCTCCAGTGCAGCTGCTGCAGAGTTTTGTAACACCCCTGCCATGCCCAGAGGTGCCACAGGGCCCGCCAGCAGACAGCTCTGCTTGCTGGGGTGGAAAGCCTGGGTTATTGCTGCCTTTGGAGCACACGGATGTGTGCTTCACAGAGCACGAGTACACTCAGTGCATGTTATTACCTGGTCACCCCTTCCCCAGCAAGCATCACCTCCAGCAGGAGGGAGCTGTGCAGAGCCTGGCTAACACCCCAAACACACGGAAACGTCCCCAAAAACGGCCTGTGCTGCTGCAGCACCTGCCTGGATCCCCGTGCAGCAGCAGGGGGACAGCAGCACTGGGTGCAGCAGTTTGGTGGCAGCCACCCTTTGACTGCTCTCAGCAGCATGCAGGCACACGCCTGGAGGTGTGTGGCAGTAAACACAGCTTTCCCAGGGCTGATTTGATTATATATATATAAATTTTCCCCCTTCAAACAAACTGTGTGATTCAAGGACGTGCTTTCACTACCAGAAGAGTGTTGAAAGAGGCCGTGTCACTGAAGTATGACAAATCATCCAGGAAGTTACCAAAGAAAAGTCAGTTTGGCACAGACTTTCGGATGTCCTGAGGCCAGTGGGAGTAGAGAGCTGAGAGCATGGTGTAGAAGCTGGCTATGATTAAGCACCTCTGAACCCCTTGGTGTTAACAGCCACCATCCTCAGTCACTGCAACCATGTACATGGCAGTAATGGAACACTGATACCTGTGAAGTTATCTGAAGGAAGAAAAGAAAAACAAAAACCCACACCGGGTTCTGGAGGCAAAGCACTCATTGCCTTAAACTCAGTAGTTTAAGGCAAGCTCATTCCTGCAAGCAGAAGAGATCCAGATCTGTGCAGAAATGCAACTGCAGTACAGCTTCATTTTTGGCTTAGAGACAGCTCACCCCAGAGCTATCCATGAGCTGTGGGCTGCCCCTCTGCTAACAGCCACCAGACCAAGGGCACAGCAGGGGCGACATCGTCCCAGCCGGGCCCCAGCAGCACGCTCACACTGCACAGGCACTCAGCTTCAGCTGAGCACTGAGCTACAGAGGACAACCTGTGTCCTCTCAGGAAGGCTGCTGCCAAAGAAAACCCACAAAACTATTTCCAGTTTCCTAAAAAAAAAAAAAAAAAAAAATAACCAGGGAGTAGTGTTTTGCTTTCCATTTGATTTCATTTTACTTAAAACCATTCTCTAAGTTTATTTCTTACAGAAAGATTTATTGGAAGAGGTCTTATGACTACAACCCCCTGAATCCTTTTCTACATTTAGAAAAACAGCTTCATTTTATCCTTGGATGTTGTGTTTGCTCAAGACCCAGATTGGAATCAATTAGCAGTTATTCTCTCCTTTAAATAAAGCTGCAGCGAGCTCTGGCCGCCTTCGCTACCCTTTGCTTCTCCTTTCTAAATGCATTACTCCATACAGAAACACAAGGAAGGAAAAAAACTTTCATTCTTCCAAAGCTGGCAGAAGCCAGCACCCTGCTAAACCCATGCACCAAGGCAACGGGGAAACAAAAAGCAGCACGCTGAGCTCCATCTCCTGCCCCCTTGTCCCACCAGGGCTGCAGCTGGGCTGCCTGCTTTGGGAAACAGAGCTCAGAAATGGGTGCTTCAGCTGTGCCCAGCTCACACAGGCAGCGTGCTTCCTCTACGTACCTCTGCGCCCCAGAGCCTAATTAGTGGGACTGTGGCAGAGCTCCGTAATGGGTGCTTGGCTTCTTGAATTCCCACCTGGTTATATTTTTACCTCCACAGCCTCACCAGGCAGACATTTACTCTAGATCATTAACAGGCGTTTCACAGACGTGAGGGTTTGTCCGTGCACTGCCCCAAGCCCCGTGCAGATGCCCTGCCCCAACTGGCCGTGCAGTGCCCCCGAGTGCCAGGGCAGGTAGGTACCTGAGTACCTGCAGCGTTATTGCCTTCAGACTTCCCCCACAGTGATGAAGACGTCACTTTTCAGGCCAGCACTTTAGCAGAAACTTTTCCTGGCTCTCCGGTTCCTTTTTAGACCACGTCAGCAATACCAAGCAAAAAGAGGAATCAAAAGCAGCATGGGAAGAAATACTGGTAACGATCGCAAGCAGCAGGAGATAGCGCAGTGAAATGGGCAGAGAAACAGCCTCTCCTACAGCTCAGGGCGGTCATCTTAACTCAGCAGCCCTAACTGCACCCAGGGGTGATACCACAGCACAGCCACCTACGTACAAGTCCCAGAGCACGAAGCAATCTCATGGACCGTCCTCTGTGCCAACAGAGCAGCCCCGTGCCTGAGCCACACAGCTCGCCAGTGAACCTGATGACAGCACTGCTCCAAGAGCCTGGTGGCCAACGCACATCCCTGGGCTTAGATCCTCCAAGCAGGGCTGAGCTGTGCCCTCTGGGACTGGCAGGGGTACAGGAGCCTTCAAAGCAGCTTGGTGAGAGCCCATGGGGATGAGCTGCCAGCTCCTTCCAGCCCGTGCCAAACTTAGCACGGCCACAGCGAGCTGCTCTAACTTCTGTCAGGACACGTTTCTCCTCAGACACACTCAGCCATGCCTGGAAATGCCATTCATTCTCCTGCTTTCTCTCTGAAAGCGAAGACCACGGCCTCGCATCTTTTCAAAGCTCTCATACAGCTGGGGCACTCAGGGATACCTCAGGGTCGTCTCAGCCCCTTCTCCTACCCAGCTCCACAGACATCCTTAGAAGCAAGGAGGTGGCCAAGGCACTTCAAAAACCCAACTTTGTCCTAGGAAACCTCTCTGGCTTGCAGAGGCTCTCATTCCTCTTCTGACCTTTCAACCAGTCTGACAAGTCTCAAGTGTTTTTAGAAAGCCAGGCTCATTCAACAGAGTTTTTAAAGGCAAAATGTGGAAGGACAAGATGACAACAAGTATATTTTGTTACTGAAGATGGAAGCGTGTATCGAGAGAGCCATGTGCATGTTCCCAGGAGAGTGATTTTACAGTTACCAACCCTGAGCCCTGCTCCTTGCACCACAAGCCTGCAGGTCAGCGCTGCACACAGTGCTCAGCGTGCCTCTTCCACCCCTTGCACTATTACCTCCACAGCTGACAGCCCCAGACACCCCAGCACCAGCCTCAGAATCAGTCATTCGTGACAGACCCCAGAGTCTATCCCAAAACTGTCATGGAAAACTGCCTGCTGCGGATGAAGACAGACTTGTTTTTAGCATTGTAAAAACCACAACTGACACCCACCAGCGGCACTGCAAGTATTGCTCAGCACCAAACACCCTACTGAGGCTGCCAGGAAAGCTAACAAGAAAAGCCTTTGCTAAGACAAAATTAGAGCTGTAGGCTGCTGCCGAACTGCCACAAGGAGATTTACGTGCAAGAAGAAGGATGCTCTGGCTGCCTAGGAGCCTGCCAAATGGTGCTGTTTGCTGCCACACCTTTACCAGAATGAGTTTACAAAGGCGTTTTCATTCAGAAGCTGAAGTCATTTTTACAGCTGAGTGAGCTGGCACATGTGTTTGACTAGCAGGGAAGTAAATACTTCCCACCATTTCACCTGTGTACTGTCATCACTAGGATTATTTGCTGGGCAGTAAGTGCAATTTTCTTTCGCTGAAGCAGCGGTTGGATGGATAGGAACAGCTTTCACAAACCCAGTTTTACATATGCAGCCACAACAACACTTTATGAGTGTGTTTCTCTTTGCAGTAGAGTAGCCACAAACCACCTGAAGGTAACAGCCACACACGGTGGGGACAACTCTTCAGCTGCACCCAATTACTTCGAGAAGGCCCGCTGATCACTGTTACAGCACCTGGTGCTTTTTGCTTTAGCGAGGGTAAGACTTCCACAGCAGCCCCTCTGAAAGGACTCAGATTAACCCAAATTACTGCATCCTAACAAGCTGCATATGCTTCATTTTGATTCTGCACTGCCCCGCGCAGTCAGGGGAACACAGATGCAGAGTAAACACACACTAATTGGAGGGAGCAGCCAAACAGGGGTGGGCAAAGCACTGCTCTCAACCTGGGTGCACAGCTGTGATGCCAGCTGAGCTCCTCCTGCAGTGGAGCAGTGGTTCTAGATCTCACATGTCACTAGAGAAGCTTGTTTGGTATCAATATGAAAAATTCAGCTCTGCAGAGCTTTTCAAACTATGAACTACTCCAGGGGGCAGAAAAAAATACAAGCATGTTTCAGATAAGCCTGGAAGTTAACTTTTCTTCCCAAAGGTAAGGTCTGAAAAGCCAGCCTTTTGGACAGCATCACAACATCACATGTGCTCGAGTGCAAGGAGTCGATACAGAAGGTTTGGGAAAGTGCCTTTCTGCCACAGGAATGGAAGCCTGCCAGACCCACAGAACACAGCAACAGGCTTAATTTGCTTTCTGACTGTGGATGTTGGCTGTTCCTCACCCTGTTTCTTCCACCCCTGTCTTCCCACTCCCCAGGGGCATTGTGGCACCTGCCAGGAGCGCACCCGGTGGCTCGCAGCAGGGACAGCCCGGGACAGCCGGGAGCCCCCCGGCACCACCCCGTGCTGGGCAGTGCAGCTCGGCCACACCAGCGAGCAAACACCTGCTGTACCTGTGCCAAGATTAAAGCCTCTCAGGTTTTATCGTGTTTTAATTCACCTCGACAGCAATCCACACCGGTTGCGTGCTCCTGCGTTATGCTCACACACGTCCCACATCATAATAAAAACGGGCATTTACCAGTAAAAAGCGACCTTGTCGCCGAGCTTCTTCTCGCCGACATTCCTATCCAGGAGGTTGTAGCAGATGTTGGTCGTCGCCCCCTTCATCCACTCGATGAAGATCTTCCCCTTGGTCACATCGAAGTTGTACTTGAGGAAGGGCCCCGGGTGCTGGCGCTTCCAGTAGAACTCCTTGGCGATGTCGCCCCAGAACTCTGCAACGCCGGAGCCCGATGTTAAAAACAACCGGACCGCAGCGCGGCCGCCCCCTCCCGCTCCCCCCTCACCGAGGCCGCAGCCCCCGGGTCCCATCCCCGTCCCCTCACCCTGCGGCTCCTCCACGGAGCGCTGGTAGAGGCGCTCGTAGTGGGGCAGCGAGGGGACGTGAGCCGCCGGCAGCAGCTCGGGCCGCGGCGGGTAGAGCCGGGCCTGCTCCTCGGGCTGCACCATGGCGGGCGCCGCCGGCTCTGAGCGGGAGGGCGCCGCCGAGCCCGCTTCAAAGCGGCGCGGAGCCGGGGGCGGGGACCGGCAACGGGGACGGGGACGGGGACGGCGGCGGGGACCGCCCCGCACCGCCCCTCAGCCCCCGCCCGCAGCCCCGGGGCTGGCGTGGGCAGAGTGCGGTCGCCCGCAGGCGGCTTGGTGGCCTCCCGTCAGCCGTGTGGCCCCGTTAGTGGTGTCTCCTGACAGCCGTGTGCCCCTGTCATGAGCTGTGCCCCTGTCATGGGCTGTGTCCCCGTCAGCCGCTATGTCCCCTGTCAGCCATGTCTTCCCGTCAGTGGAGCCCACCCAGTCAGCCGTGTCCCCCTGTCACTGCTGTCCCCACACCAGTGTCATCCCCCCACGCCATCAGTGTGCCCCCCGTTAGCAGTGCTGCCCCTTCAGTGCCATCTCTGCCATCAGCAGTGTCCCCACGAGCCGTGTCCCCTCAGGGCCAGGTCTCCCCTTGCCAGGCACAGGGTGCTGTGGCTGAGAACCCTCTTCAAATCCTCCTTCACCCACCCCAAAAGCACTCAGAGGACAAGCCCCTGCAGCCCGTGCTGGGGCAGAAGGTTGGACCCTGAGGAACCAGTCCGATTCTCTGCTCTGAGGGATTGGAGCTGGTTCCTACCTCAGTAGATCCATTCTCATCTCAGTCCTTAATATTTCCTGCCTTGAGCTGGGATGTCCTGATTGCATTGCCCGGGCAGGCTGCTGAAACCTTGAAGATCCCTTCTGCAGTGAGGAATACCATCCCTCTGAGACAACTCCACCGTGTCTGTGGAGCCATTCCCTCCGGAGACATGGGCAATTTCTGTGGTAGTTTGGGCTGGGGGCCAGGAGCACTCAGAAGATAAAAATCCAGAATCTCAAACTTGGCACGTATTCCTGTCAGCAATTAGCTCCAGCCTATTCTGGGATCCTTGCTGTTTTCCATGTTTTACGCACTCCCTGGGAGTATCGTGTTGCTGTGTGCTACAGGAACACAAACCCACAGCTTCCCAGCCCAGGCTCCCTGCACAGGCAGATGTGACACAGATACGGCCAAACTCTGCGAGGTGTCTCCCCCACCAGCCAGCACTATTGTTTCCTCCGAGCTCCCTATTACAAAAAGATGTTTCTGGAGAAAAACTGAATTCATCCCTGCAACCTGGGCACCCTGGCATGGGTGTTTTAGGAGCTATGGGAATTATGACACCCCATGGAGTTGTGGGTCAGGCACAGCCCCAGGAGCTCTGGGGTACACATTGCACATTGCTCAGCTGCTTCAGCTGGAAAGTGCACTGGTCCTGTCCTGCAAAGAGGGCCAGTGTACCCCATTTACACTTAGCCCGACACTTCCAAAGTCTTTCAGAAGCCACCTCACACCACACCTTTGTCATTATGAACTGCCAGCCCTCAGTGTTAGCAGCCTCGGTCTGGAGGATTTTGCATTTACAGGCAGGGCTTGGTGGTTCCCTAACGAACCTCCAGGTGCCCTGACACTGCAGGAAGAAGTGCTTTGCAGGTTTATTTGCCCAGCTGAAATGCTCCACCAGGCTCCGTGACAGCATGATTTCTCATAAGGAACTGCTGCCTGCTGTGGGCAGGATGTACAGAGCCCTAAGGCCGGGCAGCGCCGTGCCCCAGCTGTCCTCCATCCACATTGCCCGGCATGGGCTGCCACGGCTGGAGGAGTTGTTGTGCTGCAGCTGTGGCCAAGAAGCTGCCTGACAGGGAGCAATCACTTCTCACAAACCACCTGCAAGGAGGAAAATTGAGAATAGCCTCCTGGGCACATTTTCCCCTGCTGTCTCACAGGAGCCCGATAATCCTCCAAATGCCTGTGCACGAGGCTGGGAACCACATTGTTGTTTGGACAGCACCATGGCATAGACATGACCCTTCCCAAACTTTCATTTCAATGGTCCACAGCCAAAGTATGAACATGTCCTGGCCTCCCTGCAGTGATTTCTTGCTGCGTGACCATACTTTGCTGCTCCAGCTCCCTCTGCCCCAGCGCAGCTTGCATCCAGCTGGGCTCCTGCCCTGGAGCTTGGTGGGGCCGGGAGCTGCAGAGCGTGCTTAGAGCTCGGCTCCCAGCTCTGCTCCTGACTCACCAGGAAACCCCAGGAAATCAGCTTCGCTTTGGGCCCTTCACTTCCTCTTCCTGTAAAGGAAAAAAAAAGCACATAAATAAGACACATTAACGTTACGTGGTGCCTTGCTCGCACGGTCTGCAGGGGTGCTCTGCCAGCAGCCTCTGTGTGCAGCTCCCACCGCAGCTCAGTGGTGGCTGTGGGACACTTTCCTCCGTGGTCCCTGACATGCAGAGCCTCAGTCGTGGAGATCCTGGAGGGGGAAAAGAGAAACTGGGATAACAGAAAATGAGGCCTCATGTATGAAGCAGTGCATGGGAAGCATCTCTGCGTGGGGAACTTGTGTTAACTGGGACAAAGCCGTGCTTCAGGAGAACAGCTGGCTGCCTGACCCGGGTGGCTCCAGCCAGGATTGTGGGGTTACCCTTCTTGCTGGTCTAATTACCCAGAAATGGGTGGGACACACATCCTCATTCTTGCAAACAACCGAGCATATCAGATATGGGGTAACACGAAACAAGCAACATTCTCCGCCCTCCACCCATCATCCTCCTTGCTTCATCCAAGCTCCCTGTCACTCTAAAATCTGCTTGCTGATAAATGCACGTCAGCTAGCAGCAGTTAAAACCCCGTAATCTGTTGAGTGCCTGCTGCGGGTATACCAAAAGGGGCTCCCCATGTTCCTCACCCCCCTCTGCCACCACGAGGACCCTGCTGAGGCACATCGCAGGGCTGCTGTGTTGTGGTCCTCCTGCAGGAGTGCACGACTGGGTGCCCTGTGCTCGGGGTGAGGCTCTGCTGAGTGTGAGATCTACACAGGGCATGGTGTGGGTCAGCTCTGGGGTGTTCTGGGGGTCAGCTCCTTTCGGGACCAGCTCTGAGCAAAAGCCATGAGAGGGTCTCTTCTGCAGCTGGATGTCTTGTCTTCTTTGCCAAAACGTGGGTGTGCAGGATGCAGCGCAGCAGAAAGGCAGCAGCTCTCAGCTGTGGAGGCAGCGACCCAGGGAGGCACTGAGGTGTCTGAGCAGCACCGAGGTCGCCACCCTTCTCTCCTGCTGGCTGTCCGCTTGTTCTAGAGATCCCAGCCAGGCCAGCCTGGATCTGGGACAGGAGAAAAGGGACCATGCCACACTGTGACAGCCCTGGGGCTGTGCCACCAGCGTTCCCCTTCTCCCCTCGCTCCGTCTTGTTTGCATCCCCCTCCCAGCTGCTGCACGCACGGATGCCACCGTGTCACTCAATGGTGTCACCTCCCTGGAGCAGCACCCTGGGGGCTGCGAGGCCACGGAAAGCCCGCAGAGCTGGGGTGGGGGCACGTGGCCGGGCCGTGGCTCTTCCACTGCTGTTTCCTACACTGATTTTCAGCACAGGGCCAGGCTGGGCAGTCCTTCACGCGTGCTGAAGGGCTCGGCACATCGCTGCGGTGGGGTTAAAGGCTGGAGCGTGCGCATTTTGCCACAGAGCTAACTCCTCTGCATTGGCTGCAAGAGGAAATTTTAATCAGCTCCATGATAACAGGCTGTTGGTCCTGCTGGGAGTTATCAGTGCCTTTGTTTGTAAATGGAGCTGCTTGATACCGCTGCGGCTCTGGGCACGGCTGCAGCCCTTGGGCTCAGCAGCCCCCTCCTGCTGCTGGTCTGGGGAGCAAAAATGGGCCCAGCTGGGCAGGATCAGGCCCGAGCCATCCCATTCCTGCCTCTGCTGTCACAGGGAGACAGACTGCTGAATTTCAGCCTGTTTCAAGCTTCAAAGGGAAGCTGATGAATATCAGAACCTGGTAATTTAGCCTCTGCAGAGCACCACAATATATTCATAATCATTTTGCATGTAGATGAGCTAATAATGCAATCATGGTTATAAATCCAACCCAGGAGATGCATTACTGCTGTTCGCCTGAGCTTTATGAGTGATCGAGCCAAAGGACAATGTCTGTCTGTCTCCTAGATGGGGCCAATTAACCTTATAAAGATGCTCTCCCCTCTCACAGCAGCTTGTTTGTTTACTTGGGCACTGCCGCCTGCTGCTATTTTCCATCTGGAAGATGGGACAGTGTTGGTGAGAGATTCGGCAGAGGCCAGGGGTAAAGAGAAAATGAAACCAGGCTCAGGAGAGACAGTGCCTCAATCAGCAGCACGTTAGAGAGGTTGGGGTTTAATAGCTGCTTTCCCCAGAAGGACAGCTGTCCCAGAATTGGTGTCCCAGAACTCCAGAGAGTGTCCTTGCCCGGTCATAAATGCAACCACCTTTTTTTTTTTTTTTTTTTCTCCCTGTGCCTTGGGCTGCTGGGACAGCTGAGCTTGGGCGTGAGCGACCTCTGCGAGCTCCTGCTTGGCTTGGCAGCAGGAGCGCAGGCAGCGTGGGCAGGCGGCAGCGGCGTGCCCTCTGCTGCTGAGCTGCCAGCCCTGCAGGGGCCGTGGTGGCACGGGCACGGGACCCTCGGTGCCAGCACTGCAGGCTCTGCAGTGGCAGTGAGGTGGCTCTGCCACGCTGGCAACGCATGGCCCACGGTGCGAGCGATGCAGCCTCCAGGCATGAATTCATGGCAGCCACGTGGGGCTGCAGAGGAAGGCAGGGAGCACAGCGAGGCTCTGTGCGCCCTCGGGCACCCGGGTGGGGATGCTGCGGTCCCTGAAGCAGCAGCAGGGCCCTCTGTTGCACGACATCCTCCACAGCCCTTCCCCGTGGCACTGCAGCCTCCCGGCACCCATGGCAGATTGGGGACAGGCAGCAGCGATGTCCTCTGGATCCCAAAACCAGGCTCCAGGCGTGGCTCACCACGGCTTCAGCTGTGCCCTGCCTGCATGTGGGCACCAGTGAACCCCCACCCCGTGCCACCATGCACCCGGGGTTCAGGGTCTCCGCAGGGTCAGGCCAACACTGTGAGGTGGGGACTGTGCCCTTCATCGCTCAGGACCTTACAAAGCCACGGGAGCTGTGTCTGCAGCGTGGTCGGTGTCCCCAGGGGCTGTGGCAGGCAGGGGCCAAGCAGCAGAGGGAACAGGAGAGGCAGTGCCGGAGGTACGCCGCTGCTCAACACACCGGTGAGAAGATGACTTGGAGGCAGCTTTTCTTTCTTTCTTTTTTTTTTTTTATAGAGATTTTTTTAATGTTTATTTTTAACAGACTTAGTTTAGATTTTTTTTGTTTTCTACAATAATTCAATGTAAAAATCCCAGTACAATATACAACAGTTTGAACGGTTGGAATAAGAAATCCAGCTTGGGGAGACACGTAAGTTCAGCTAGTTTCTAACACAGGTAGCAAACTCCCTCCACCCTCCCCCAAACTCACCAGCCAGGAAGGCATTTGGATGGGAACACTCTACAGATGTCACCCCCACCCCAGGACACTGGCTGCCCTGTCCCTGCCCGTGTCGCAGGAGGACACAGCACGTGGGACGTGGCATCCCTGTGGCATGGCTGGGAGCCTCCAACGTTGCAAGGCAAGGTCTGCAGTCAAGCGAGGCCGGCTGGCCCTTGTGCGTGAGTGGTGTAGGATGCTCTGAGAGGGCCCTCCGTGAAGGTCCCTCAGGGTCCGGGGCTCCCACGGGATGGAGGAGAGGTTTGTCCTCCCTGTGGCAGCCCCTTGCCCTGGTGCAGCCGTAAGGAGGCTGGAAGGGAAAGACCATGTCCCTGCACGGCCCGGTCCGAGGGAAGGAAAAGGAGGAGATGCGAGGGGTCCTGGCTGTGGGGTCTGAGGGGTCATCTCAGGGGTACCTCCCTGGCCTGGGAGCTGGAAGTCTTTCAGGAAGCCACTTTGGCTTGGCTCATGGTGCTCAAACAACGTGGGATGGTCCTCCTTGAGTAGCCCGGAGTGGTCCTGCTCAAGCTACATGGGGTGGGCTTGATTGAGCAACATGGGAAGGTCCTGCCTGAGCTCCAGGGGATGGTCCTGCTCAAGCAGCCATGGGGTGGTCCTGCATGAAGAGCATGGAGGGGTCCTGCTCACGCAGCCGGGGGTGGCTCTGAGCAGCATGGGGTGGTCCTGCTGGAGCAGTATGGGGTAGTCCTGCGGGAGCAGTATGGGGTGGTCCTGCTCGAGCAGTATGGAGTGGTCCTGCTCGAGCAGCATGGGGTGGTCCTGCCTGAGCACCATGGAGCAGCTGCAAGTGGCCAGGATGGTTCCTCGTGTCCTGCAGCATCCTAAGCATGGCACTCAAAGCCATGTCTTGCCCCTCTTGGAAACCCTCCACTGCTTGGAGAAATCTCCTGCAGACGGGTGTGCTTCAAGAGCACCCTGGTTCCAAAGGGTTATTGCTGATGCTGAATCAGGACACCAGTGACCCGTTCCAGCTGCCCTAGCCCCAGGGAGAGGCGTTCCCTGATGTCCAGCAGGGATCTCCCACCCTGCAGGCTGGGCCCTTACCTCTGCTACGAATACGCCTCGAGCAGCAGGGATGGGGTGGGAGGCTGGTTCTCCATCCGTCAGCCCCACACCCCATCCCCAGCGGTAGGGGCCCTTCCTGCTTGCAGGGGTGGCTGTGCTGGGGGTGGCTTTCCTGGGCTGGTAAGGGATGGGATACAAGGCACGGGAAGGAGGGGGAGAAATAGGTGGTAACAGCAGGGGCCAGACGGGCTGGAAATAACAGAGTGCTGGAAGAACAGAGGAGAGGAGGCAAGAGGTCAGGCTGGGAGTAGAGGGGAGGTCAGGATGGAGCTGGGAGGTGAAGGAGAATGAAAGGATGGCGAGGAAGGGAAGGGTGAGGTAAATGAGGATGGCTGGAGGTCAGGAAGAGGTGGAGGGGAACCCATGAGGTAGGTGGGACACATGGAGAATGAGGGATGGGGAGATGGGGAGGGGTGGAAGAATGTACAAAAAAGACAGGGATCTGCTGGAAAGAGTCCGGTGGAGGGCCACAAAGATGATACGGGGCCTGGAGCAGCTCCCCTGTGAGGAGAGGCTGAGACCTGGGGCTGGTCAGCCTGGAGAGAAGACTGAGAGGGGATCTCAACGTGTATAAATACCCTTAAGACTGGGAGACAGAGGGATTTGGCCAACCTCTTCTCAGTGGTCTGTGGGCACAGGACAAGGGGCGATGGCCACAAAACGGAGCCCAGGCAGCTCTGCACCAACATGCCCAAGAAATTCTTCATGGGGAGGAGCCGGAGCGCTGGGACAGGCTGCCCAGGGAGGCTGGGGGGTCTCCTTCTCTGGAGATATTCACGGCCCGGCTGGGCACCTCCCTGGGCAGCCTGCTGCAGGGAACTGCTTTGGTGGGGAGTTGGTGATCTCTGGAGATCCCTTCCAACCCCTACAGCTCTGTGATTCTGTAATGTGAGGAGAAACATTGAAACTGGGAGGTGAATGACAGCCAGGGATGGTGAGCTGGCTGGAGGTCAGGTGTGAGGAGAAAGGCAACAGCAAGAGCTGAAAGTGCATGGGAAGGGATGGGGAATGATGGAAGGGGGAGGTTGGCAGGAGAGACGGGGAGACTGAGGTGCAGGAAGAAGAGGTGGGAGATGGAGGATGAAGAAGGTATAGGAGATAGCAGAAGAGGACAAAGAGCTACAGGAGATGAAAAGTGAAGGATGATGAAAAGAGAAAACAGGAGGTTGGAGGAGAATGAGGAGAACCAGGCAGGTGGGAACTGGGAGAGGAGGAAGAACAGGCAAATGGTGGGAGGTGCTGGGGAACTGGGGAGAGCAGGAGGTGGAGGATGGAGGTTGGCAAAGTGATGGACAGTAGAGGAAGATCAGAGGAGAGATGAGAGGAGATGAAGAGATGCTAGGTGGTGGAGGACAAGGAGGGAAGGAAAGATGGATGAAGAGGAGGGATGAGGAGATGGGAGATGGAGGAGGATGACAAGGAGATGGAGATGTTTAAGGGGTAGGGGAAGACAAACTGGTGAGAGATGGAGGGGGACTGGAAATGTGGGTGTGAATGAAGAGGTTTGGGAAATGTTGACAACTGGAGGGACAGGGAAATAGTGGGAGGTGAGGATGGATTGGATGGGGAAGAGGATGAGGAGACAAGAGGCAGAAGAGGATGAAGATGGGGAGAAGTGGAAGAGGTTAAAGCAGGTTGCAGTGATGGTGGGAGCTCACAGATGACGAGAAGGGATGGTGAAATGTTGAGATAAGGAGTAATATGAGAGGAAAAGACTGGAGGTGAATAGAGGAAGACTGGAGCGAGGAGCAGGGACAGAAGGGGTGGGACACAAAGGATGATGGAGGAGCAAAACGTGACACGGGAGGCGATGGAGGAGCTCAGGGAGGGACAGCTGAAAGTAGCTGGGACCTCCGGGTGACGAGGGGCACGAGGGTGGGAAGCCAGGGCAGTGATGGGGACACGGCTGGGCAGGATGGGACAGGGGAGGTGTGGGGAGCACCAGCGGCACGAGACCACCATGGAGCCGCGAGGAGCCCACGTGGGGTGAGAGGCCACGGAGGACCCGAGGGCGATGGCAGGGAAGCCACGGCGGCGTGGCAGAGCTGGGGTCAGCACACGGGGATGGGGAGAGGAGGGGACACCGTGTGCGGGCAGCTGGCAGGGATGGGGTCTGGGGGCACCCCACAGCCAGGGGCCACCCTGCGCTCCCCTCCGCAGCCCGGGAAAGTGGCGCTGAGGGTGCAGGTGAGGGTCTGCAGGGCTTTATTCATCACACGACAAGCAGGCACGGCACAGGGGGCGGGTGGGCGCCGTCATCGGGGCAGGTCCTGCCCTTCATGCGACCTTGGGGTGGGCACGGGGACCGTGGTGAGGACAAGGGCAGAGGCTGCGGGGGCTGAGGCCAAACCTGCCGCCTCCCCAGCTCATGATTTGTTCCCAGCATCCCGGGCTCAACCAAAGCAGCTCCTGCCTCTCTGCAACGCAGCCTTGGCAAAGCCCCTGCCGTCCCCCGTCCCCATCCCCGTGGGAAACACCTGGCACCCCTATTTACAGAGTAAGACAGAACTGACCGATATTACAAATAATTAAAAGGCAGTTGTAAAAATGAGAAACCACATTCCAAAAGTAGAGAGTCTTTTAAAAACGGAACGGAAACAAAACCTAGTCCTCGATGAAAACGCTAAAAACCACCCCGGAAGGATCTATGTACAGCAGGAGAGTGCTGGCGGCAGCGCTGCGCCCGCCGGGGGCGTGGGGGTGGCCGGGGGGGGGACGCTGCCTGGCCCTGGCTGCTGGTGACACGCCGGGGTGACGAGGGCCCCGGGGGGCCGGCCGGCCACCCCCAGAGCGAAAGGCCATCGGTGCTGGGCCGGCTGGCCCTGGCTGATGCTGGTGTGTCCGGAGACACAGGCAGTGAGCGGCTGTCGCGGAGATGCTGACGGAGGCTGCGACGTGGCAGTGATGCGGCCGTGCTGCTGCGGGCAGCGAGCGGCTGGACGGGAGGGGGCAGCAGCCGCGGCAGCAGGAGTGTTTTCTGAGCCTGGCTGCAAGATGACAGCAGTGCACAGAGCCCCTGGAGCGATGTACACAGCCTCAGGACAATGCGCGCAGGCTCTGGAGCAGCGCGCAGAGCCCCCAGGGTAATGTACAGAGCCCCCAGGGGCTTGCACGGAGCCCCCAGAGCAATGCAGGAGCCTTTGGAGCTGTGTATAGAGCCCCCGGGGCACTGCACAGAGCCCCAGGAGTGATGTCCGCAGCCTCAGAACAATGCTGAGGGTCCCTGGGGCCACGCACAGAGCCCCTGGAGCAGTGCATGCAGCCTCAGAACAACGCCCAGAGGCTCTGGAGCAATGCCCAGAGCCCCCCCGAGCAATGCCCAGAGCCCCGGCGGGCACAGGCACCTGCAGGCAGCTCCATCTGTGCGAATCCTGCCCAGCCCCCAGCACGCAGCTTGAAAATAGGTCGAGCAGCCACCTCCAAAATCACCCTTCTCGCCCTGGGCTGTGCCCAGGGGCACCAGCGCTGCCGGGCTGCTGCCCTCCTCCCTCCCCAGATGAGGATTTTCTCGATGGCGACCGCCCGACCGCTGTGCGGCGGAGGCTGCGAGCCGTGCTGCAGCCGCCCAGCCCACAATCTCTTAATCCAATTGGTGCATCTCCAAGTTAGCTCATTTCGGTATGTTTTGTTTTCAAAAAATGCACTTGGTTTACATTGCAGGCTGTCCGGAGTTGGGCAGAGCCAAAAGAGGAGAGGAAAAAAAAAAAAAAAAGGGTGGGTGTGGGGGAAACAAGGACGGGGGGCAATATTTCAATTCAGCACTTGGAGGAGCAAATAACTACACGTGGCCCCGGGCAGGGAGGTGGGCGCTCTGCAGGGTGGAGGCTGCTGGGGGGGTCCCAACGTGCTGCTCCCAGCCAAGGCCCTTGGGATTAGGGAGACTGAGGACACGCCACGCGTGCACCCAGCTTCCCCGCCACGCCAGGGGGCTGCCCGCACCCTTCCCACCAGCAGAGGAGCCCTGGCAGCCCCCCAGCAGCGGGAGGGCGATGGGGACAGCCTCCACGCACCGCCCAGCCCGGGGACCCTCCCCGCCTCCCTCCAGCCTCCAGGATGCAGCCGACGGATGCGGCTGATGCAACCGCCCCGCAACCACGGCCCTCGGGGACACGCCGGGCAGGCGGCGCTGGCCACGAGGCCGGATCCAGCCCACGGAGCCACGCTGCCTCCGTCCCTCGACTCCAACCCCGCGGCGCTTCAGCCCTGGCCGAACAGCACCACCGCCACCTCACACGGCGGCCGTCCCCTTCCCGAGGCCACCGTGGGGACCCCGCCACTCCCCCCCCGTGCCGGTGACACGGCCACCCCGGCGGGACGCCCCGCTGCTGCCGGCAGCCTCCGCCGCCCGGCGCCCTTCGCCATCTGCTTCTTAAGCGTCCCCGCGGGTGAGGGGACGGTTAGGAGACAGATGCGTCCCCGAGAGGGGCCCCGCGGGCGCTCTCGGGGCAGGAGAGTGGGAAGCAGGCAAGGCTGCGCTGCCCCGTCCCGCCGTCCTCACTCACTCAGGGGCCCCGGCTTCTCCTCCGCCCTGGGGGGGTCCGCGGGGTGCAGCCTGCACTTGGAGGGCGAGTGGCGGGCGGCGGAGCGGGAGGGCCGGGCGAAGCAGGAGGTGAGGGACTGCGAGCTGCAGTCGCACGCCATGTCCTGCAAAGAGAGAGTGGGGGCGGTTAGAGGGTGCCGGAGCCGCCCCCGCGGGACACCCCAGTGCACGGGGGGACCCCGCCTCGTTACCTCGCTGGCTAGAGCCGAGATGAGGTCGGGGTCCCGGGGGGCCGCCTCCTTGCTCCCTTGGCCGGGGGACGACGGCTTCGGGTCCTCGCAGCTGCTTTGTTTGAGGACTTTCTTGCTCAAGATGCGGGAGGCGCTTTCGGCTGGGTGGTAGGCGGCCGGGCCGGGGTGCTCGGTTTTCTTGGCACCCTCCTCCCCGCCACTGGCATCCTTCTTCTCCGGGGGGGCTGTGGGGCTCTGCGCCCGCCCGCAGACGTTCCTGAAGAACTCCTGCACCAGGCCGTACTTGGGGGCCTCGGGCTTGGCCCTGCTGCCGTCGGGGCAGCCCGGCTTCCAGATGGACTCGGTGCTGCCCGCGTGCTCCACCACGCTGAAGAGGCTGGACAAGCCGTCGTTGATGTTGCTGAGCACGGGGCTGTCGCGGGTGGTGGTAGAGCGGGCCCAGGCGGAGCCGTTCTGCTTGCCCTGGTGCAGGTTCCAGAGGCTCCTGTCCTTGGAGGCGTCCAGTTTGGAGGAAGACCTCCTCTGCAGCTTCGGGGAGCCGTATTTTGGGGAGCAGCAGGGCCGCTCAATCCTGGAGTGGACCTTGTCCAAGGAGGAGGAGATCTGCTTGCTACGCACGGAGACGAGGGAGGAGCTGCGGGGGGACCAGCTCTTGCCGTGCACGCCGCCGCGCGGCAGGTCCGTCTGCAGGCCCACGCTCACCGTCTGGATGGTCTGCGTCCCCACGTGGGCCAGCCCCACCGTCTGGCTCGAGGCGCTCTTCACCTTCCTCTCCAGCGAGCTGGAGCGGATGGCCTGCCGCACGCAGTTGGTGATCTCCTTCATGTCGTCGCTCATGTTGCCGGAGATCTCCAGGTCGTGCAGCGAGGGCGGGAAGCGGGGCACCGGCGGCACCGCGCTCTCCACCGCGCCGCCGTCCAGCAGCTCCCGCTGCTGCTTGGAGAAGTTGCACAGCCACTGGCTGTACGTGCTCTCCGCGCTGGCCGACTCCTCCGGCTCCTTGGGCTTGGCCATGGTGAACAAGAAGCCGGGCTCGATCATGATCTTCCCCTCCTTGTTGTGCACCAGAGGCGCCTCCAGCCGCCGCGCCACGGGCGGGCTGTAGTAGATGCGGATCCCCGTCTTGTCGGGCGCCGTGTAGCTCCTCTGCATCTGCTTCTGGGCCGGGTCGTGCCCCGAGAAGCTGCTGGCCCGCGAGTAGTCCCAGGAGGAGATGCCCAGCTTCTCCTTGGCCAGGCCGTCAGGGGCAGGTTGCTCGATATTCACATATGTACAGTGCGGGGGAGGAAGGCCGGTGCTGTCCCGGATCCCGTTGGGCAGCAGCTGGGCAGGCTGCAGACACCTTTTTGCCTCGGGAATGGTCGCCCAGCCCGGGCGCAGTCTTTCCAGGGAGGTAGGGAGAACAGTCGAGCAAGCTTTCGAACTCTGACATGGAGGAAACGGACTTGGTCCTGCGGGAGAAGAGAGCACAGGGCTCACCGATTGCCCAGCCAGCAGGACAGGGGGATGGTGTGGGGACAGCTGAAGGTTCCACCCCAACGGGACCTGCTGGGCACCCAGTCCTGCTTCTTGCCTCCGGGACAATCCTGGGCCATGGCTGTGTCCAGTCGGAGCTGGAGGCAGGCCTGGCTGCGAGGGCTGCTGACCCCCTCCACGCCCCGAGGATCACACCGCTGACACACTCACCTTTTTAGGTTGGTTCCCTTGGCTTCTTCTTCAGAGATTGTCTCTTTGTCTGTGATTTTTTCGTTGAGAGCCTAGGAGGACACAGAAGCAAGCTCTGGTGGCAGAAGGCACAGGCCCCTAGCACACGGATGTGCTGGAGCAGGGGCTGCACCCTGCTCCTTTCCAGCACCTCCCCAACATCCCCAGGTCCTGCACCCCACCCTCAAGGCTAAACAGGGCTGGCTGTGACCAAAACTATCCTAAATCAACTGTCTGAAGCCTCTAGGGTTTGCCACAGCAGGATGAGCCATGCTCTCTGCTGTCTCCATCTCCCTAATCCCTGATGGCCTCCCTGCAACCACGGCTGGGATGCTGCTGCTCAAGGGGATGCTATTTTGGGGCGCACACAACCTCCCCCTTTTTAGCACAGACCTGAGCCCGTGGAGAAGCCAAAGGACCACTGCCACCCTCTCCTGCTCACCTCTTTCCAGTTGCCGCCGTGCTTCTCCATTTCAGAGTGCTTCAAAGCCCATGGGTTGGCTCCTTTCTGCAACTGGAGAACACGCCGGTCACCCAACGCGTGTATGTGCCCCTCTGGGCACACAAAGCCTCTGCTGCTTGCTCACCGGGTGTGCCCCAGGGGCGTTCAAGCACAGCGAGCAAGCAGCAGACGCTGGAGGACACACGCACGGTCGGGGACACCACACCTGGTTGAGTTTGTTCTGCAGGTCCTTCGCTTGCTGCTCCGCCTGCTGCTGCTCCTCCTTGAAGCGTGCCAGCAGCTCCACCTTCTCCTGGTTCCAGTTCTTCTCGCTAATCTGCAGCTGCTTGGTCAGGTCCATGACGGCGCTGTAGGACTCAGCCAGGAGGTGCTGGTGCTCCTCGCGCTCCCTCTTCAGGGCCACCTTCCAGTCCGGCAGCGCCCGCTCCGTGAGGCCTTTGCCCGCCTTGGCCTCCAGCTGCAGGGACACGGCGTTGGCAGCCCCGTCGTGACAGACAGACCGACGGATGGCCACCCAACGGGATGGGGGCTGGATGGCCCCACTGCCCTCCTCCCCACCCCATGGGGGTGGCACTGCCTGGGGCTGGCAGAGTGCTCCCTGAGAGGCTCCACTGCTGGCCCTGAAGGCATCTGGAACAGGGGTGCTGCCCCCACGGAGGCTCTGCTTGCTTTTGGGGAGGAAAAAGGGGAATTGGGGACTGTGGATGGGCACCGTGGAGAAACTACCTGCCCAGGAAGTGCTGGCACCGCTCTGGTGAGCAGATGCACAGCCACCGGCTGCTGCCAGCACAGGCACCAGGGAGCCAAAACCCCTCACCACCATGAGAGCAGGGCACAACGGGCCGGGGGACCGAGGGGACAGGACAAGAGGGCTCTGGTGCTGCTCCAGCAGGGGACAGGGTGAGCGCAGTGCGTGGCCAGAGCACGGTGAGCCCCGGCACCACCCCGCCCGCCCCAGACAAACCCAGCAGAGGAATAAAGAGCATCCTCTGCTCACGCAGTCGGATTTTCGTGCCAGCCCCGTTGCTATAGAAACTCGCCTGCCGGAGCTGCTGCTCATTGTGATTCCTGCCGTGCCATCCTTCCTCCCAGCCCTCCCCAGCAGCAACCAGGGTTTGGCACCCGGCGCGGGCAGCCCCCCCCCAGCCCCGCGTCCCCCCTCCCGCGGCTCCCACCTGGGCGATGTGGCACTTGAGCTCGGCACGCTCCATCTCCCAGGCGGCCTTGGCCTTGGTGAACTGCTGCTGCAGCTCGCCGGCGCCGCGCCGCTCCTCCCGCAGCTCCGTGCACAGCTCCTTCAGGGTCACCTTCATGTCCGCCAGCGTCTTGATGCACTCGTTGGGCTGCCGGGGACCAGGGGGGGTGAGCGGGGGTTGCCGCCTTTGTACCCTGACCCTGCACGCCGCCACCCCCGGGGGGAGGGACGTGGGGTGCCACCAGGGTTTGGGATCACCCCGCTGCCCGATGGTGATGCCCAGTGGGGACTGATCCTGCCCACCCCGCTCACCGTGTTGGGGGTCCAGGCGTCCCCAGCGCAGGTCTTGTTGTCCGCCTGCTGCTGTGGGGCGAGCTCCTCCTCCTCCAGCAGCAGGTACAGCTCCTTCATGCTGTTCACCTGCGGGAGACGGCACAGGCAGCTTGCTGAGGGTCCCACGGATCCCGTGAGGATCCCACAGCACCCAGCTGGGGACAGGGGACATCCGAGTGTCCCCCCACCCGTGCCCACGGTACCTCCAGGAAGTCATCGCCCTCGCTGTGCACTATCTTGCCCTGGCGCCAGCGCTTGAGGAACCACTTGAGCTTCATGAAAAGCAGGAGGAAGCTCTGCCTGAACTGCTGCGACTCCTGCACCAGCAGGTTCTTCTCCTGGCTCCAGAACTTCTGCTCCAGCCGCCTCTGCAGGTTCAGGCTCTGCAGCTCGAACTCCCGCCGCAGCAGGGCTTTCTGGTGGTCCTCCTTCAGCTGCGGAGGGACGCGGTGAGCCACCAGCACCCGTGCAGGCTGTCGTGCCTCCTCCCCACGGCCTCGGCCCAGCATGGGACCCCAAATTTAATGCCCCCAGCTCAGCCTACTGGGTAGCTGCAACCCCCCTGGGAGAGCAGGGCCATCAAGGCAGAAGGTGTAAGCCCTGCACGGCTGCACGCCCACGTGCACAGAGGGGCACGCTCAGCCCCTGCGCCCTGGAGGATGGGGTGTTGTGTGGTCCGGGTGTCACCAGGGCGGTCACCAGACACATGGGGACCCTTCCTCCCGTGGCCACCACCGCCCGCTCACCTGGCAGATCTTCTGCGAGAAGTTGTCCACCTCGTCCTTGCGCAGCTGCCTCTCCTGCGAGAGCTGCTCCTGCAGCCCCCGGAGGCTCTCGTTGGCCTCCGACAGCACCAGCTGCAGCTCCTTCATCTGCAAGGGCACGGGAGGGACGGTGGGTGGGTGCCCAGAGGGCAGGGGGATGTGCTCTGCACCCCCTCCCCAGCTCCGCAGCCCTCCCACTGAGCTGCTCCCCGGGCAGCCCCACCGAGGGGCCACGCACAGCTCCCCGGCTGTGCTGGGAGGTGGCTCCGTACCTCAGTGGCGTAGGAGTCGTTCTCGTCAGGCCGGCAGGTTTTGTAGCTCCGGGGATGTGCGGGGTCCGTGTCCTTGGTGTGGGTGATGCGGTAAGGGTCGGCGTCCCTAAAATCAGGCTGCTGCATGCGTGGGCAAGTTAATGAGAACAAACCAAAAGAGCGGGAAGAAAAGAAAGCCAGAAAACAAAACAATGGGTCTCCGAAACAGTAAAGGACTACAAGACAACAAAAAGGATGATGAGGAGAAGGAACTTCATCACCATGGTGGGAGACAATGTGGAAACCAAAAGGAAACACAGGATGAGACACGTGGCCTGGATTGTTTGGGGAAGGGGAAAAAAAGAGAGAAAGAGGGAAAAAATGTGCAAACACCAGTTACGGTGCCATGCAGTGACTGGGGGAAACCGGGACCTGGGGCTGGTGGGACTGTGGTCCAGCAGCATGCAGAAAAATAGGACTCTGAACAAGCGAGTGTGCTCCAGAAAGGTGCCCTGTGCCCATGGTGGGACCCGTGTCCCCAACCAGGTCCCCATCCCTGGCTGTCCTGGCACGAACTGGCCTCCCCGGACAGGAGGGCACAGGCTGCTCTCCAAGGGAAGGTTCCCGTTGGAGACAAAGCTGCCTTGGGGTTTTTGCCCTGCAAATTACCCTGCCTGGGAACTGTCTCGGTGCACACCAATGGGGGCTGAAGCTCCTTCCAAGTTGGGTGCCTGCAAGCCAGGCTGCGAGGGAAATTTAGGTTGGGTATTAGGAGGGGAGGTTTAGGTTGGATATTAGGAAAAAACTTCTTTGCTGAAAGGGTTGTGAGGCATTGGGATGGGCTGACAGGGAAGTGGTTGAGTCACCAGCCCTGGAGGTCTTTAACAGACGTTTAGATGTGGAGCTCAGTGATATGGTTTAGTGGAGGGACTGGTTAGTGCTAGGTCAGAGGTTGGACTGGGCGATCTTGGAGGTCTCTTCCCACCTAGATGATTCTGTGATTAACTTGGCGTACTCTTACGATGCTGACCGGACAGGCTTTCAAACCAGGGGCCCATCCCAGACAGCAAAGAGCATCACAGCTGGGGACGTTTGGCTCTGCGAGGAGCCTGCCCACAGATGGAGGAGAGCACCGAGCCACCCCGCCGGGGTGGGACACGGCCGTGAGCCCCCCGGCCCCACCTCCCGCCCGGCGCACACTCTGTTGGAGCAGAGTCCTATCCTGTCCCGGGTGCCACGGCATGCAGCGAGGCGAGCGTTAGTTGGGGGATTGCTCTGGGGAGGCACGAGGAGGGGAACGTTACGGGTCAGGGTTTGTTCCGTTAAAGCAGGAGAAAAGAGCGAGAAGCTGGCAAATAAAGCAACAAGTGCTGCGGGGCGGCCGCGGGAAGAAGCCCTGTACCTGGAAGTCGGAGCCGTGCTCCTTCTGCAGCCCCTCCTTGGTGGCCTCGTGGCTGCCTGGAGAAGGGGAAGGAGTCCGCGTGCTCCTTGAGGCCTGCCGGCGAGGTGGTCCACCTTCCTCATGAAGCAGCCCAGGTCCTGCTGCAGCACCCCCAGCCTCATGAGGAGCACGTTCATCAGCTTGGCGTCGCTGGGGCCCTCGCTGCTGTTATCCACCGCCTCGGCCAGCAGCCCCCCCACGCACTCGTTGTCCAGGCACAGCTTCAAGCCGGAGGTGAAGCCGTTGGCGTCCGAGATCAAGACGTCGATGGCTTTGCTGACGAGCGCCGCTTGGTCCCGGATGCCCAGCAGGGTCTCCAAGTCCTTGGCCTTGAGGAGCTTGGCGGCGGGAACCCCCGTCCAGCGCCTTCCCCCCGCCGGGCCTGTCCTGCTGCTCAGCCTCGCCGCCGTGCCCGTCCCTCCAGCCGGTGGTGGGGACGCACTGTGCCGAGTCCCCGGCCTCGGCGTCGGTCTCCAGCATGGGCCGGGTGGTCTGGCAGGAGGCCAGGTCGCAGCGCTGGAGGTTGGAGAGGAGGACACGGTTCTCGTACTGCAGCTTCTTCACCTTGCCGCTCAGCTCGCTGATCTGCACCTTGGCCGTGGCCAGCTCCTCCTGCGAGGGCTCGCTGACCACCGAGCAGCTGTCCTCCGACAGCGTCACGTCCAGCTCGTGGTCCGACTTGTACTTGTTGAGCTCGTTCATCAGGAGCTTGTTCTGGTCCTCCAGCTCCAGCAGCGAGCGTCGCAGCAGGTCGGCCTCCTCCTCCACGAACTGCAGGTGCCGGCGCAGCTCCACCACCGTGTCCCCCGCGTCCCCGCAGCCCGAGGGGCACGCCAGGAACCGCAGGTCCTGCCCCGGCAGCTCCCTGTCCCCCTGGCCCTTCATGTCGTCCATCTCGGCCCGCAGGCCGCGGTTCTCCACCTCCAGCTCCACTATCCTGCGGCTGAGGATGTTGGCTTCCTCCTCCACCAGCTTCAGGTGGACCTTGAGCTCGGCCTCGCGCGAGTGGGGCGAGTCGGCCAGCTCCTCCACGGACAGGGAGCTGTCGAGGTCCCCGTAGAGGGACCTGTACTTCAGCAGCTCCTCCTTCATGCCGTCGTTCTCCTTGGCCAGCTTGGTCAGCTTCTTGCACATCAGGGCTGACTCCTCCTTGGCGAAATGCAGCTGGCACTTCAGGTCCGCGCTGTCCTCCTGGGGACCGAGTAGGGACGGGCGTTAGGAAGGGCCTGGGGGACCTGAGGGACACGGGGCACCGACACCGAGGTGGGACGTGGGGACCCGGCCCAGCCCCGCCACCACGTGTGACGGGGAGGGAAAGCTGCCGGGTGCTGGGGGAAGTGGCTGGAACGAGGCCTTCTTCTGGTCGGGTTTTGTTTTTCATGAGGGCTGGAAACCTCCCCAGGTCCCACCCCTCGCCCAGCCCCTTTCCTCCCAGCCTGTCCCTGTCCTGTCCCTGTCCCTGTCCTCGCTGCCCCCCTCGCCACACATGGGGGTGGCAGCCCCAGCCCTGCCCGAGCCCTTTTGCTTCCTGGAGCCCTCTGTGGGGTTCTGCTCAGGCCGGTTTTCAATCCATCAACAGCCAGCCCCGCTGTTTGCCCTCGGAGACCGTTTCTCAGCTACGGAGCAGTTTCTGGACAGAGGACCAGGATTTCCTGACGCCCAGCTCGTGGCTTCCTGTGCTGTGGGGTCACTGCAGCCCGCTGACCGCCTGCAGGGGACCCGCTGGTGGCACCCAGCGCCTGCTCGCCCCGTCCCCAGCACCCCAGTGCCCCTCCAGCACGGGCAGCGGTGCCCTCAGGACTCCAGGAGCCACCGAACGCTGCGGTGCCTCCAGCCCCGAGGGGCTGCCATGGGCTCGGGGTGCTGCCTTATTCCCCAGCATGGCCACGGGGACAGCGCCACAGGGCCGCAGCCCCAGCTGGGCAGACGTGACCTCAGTTCCTGTTTTTTCCAGGAAAAAAAAATAAATAAAAGCGCCCAGGCGGGCGCTTCCCCCTCCCCCTGGCATGGCTGGGGGGACAACCACGCTCTAGGCGGCACGGGGAGCACCTCGAGAGCTCCCGGGGTGGGGGACAGAGGGGACGGGAGCTTGGTTTTGAGCCTGCCCCCACCCCAGCTCTGTGGTCTGTGAGAGCCCCGCAGGGCCGGGCAGGAAAGGGGCCCAGGAAGGCACCGCTGAGTCACGGGCGGCTGCACTGGGGCGGGAGGGAGGGAGGAGGATGGGGACCCGCTGCCAGGGCACCAGCACCTCAGGGGAGCCATGGGTTGGCTTCGGCTTTGTACCTGCTCCTGCCCTGCCCCACGGCCCTGCAGCGGGGCCCTCAGCTCCGTGCAGACGGCAGCGAGGGGGGCAGCGGGGTGTGTGCCCGCCAACTGCAGGGACACGGGGACGTGGGGCCAGCCAGGGAGCCCGGGGTCCTCGTGACGAGACCCTCCCAGCACGAAAACCTTCACGGGGCTCCCTGCCAGGTTTTGGGGTGCAGGTCTGCTGCCCAGACCAGATCCCATGGGGCTGCCTTCGGGAGGGGACTCGGGGGTGTCTGAGCCCTCGGCTTCCTCCCAGCAGCAGCCAGCCCTGCCCCTCCCCTGCTGACAGCGTTAGGGACTCAGGGCAGCTCAGCACAACAGCGAGTGACGGATGAAATCCTCCTGCTGCTGGCACGTCCCCCTCCCCATGCTGGCCCAGCAGCCTGTCACGGGGCAGGGACAGGGGCAGCGGCCTCCAGCTGCCCCCCACGGGGTCCCCGGGCCCCCCAGGACCACCCTACAGCCCGGCCGCTGGCACAGGCAGCCCCGGCACGAGGAAAAGGTTCAAGCCACTGCCTGCTCTGAGGCCCCATTGATAAAGGAGACAAGGGATCCTTGAGGACAAGGAGGATGGCCCAGCACATCAATCCCTGCCTTGTGCAGAAGGCAGAGAAGCCCTGCAAGGAGGGGATGTCGCCGCCCTGCCCGGGACTCCCCCCTGTGCCAGGCTCAGCGGCCGGCACCGCTACCTGGGGTGGGCACCGCAGCCCCTACCTGCACTGACGGCTTCTTCTCGGCCTTCCCAAGGGAGCGAGAGCCCCTTTTCTTCAGGGAATTCTGCAGAGAGAAGAGAGGGATGTTACCCACGGCCGCAGCATGGCACACACACAGAGCCACCCGGCCACCCCCGGGGCTGGGGACACCGCAGGCAGGGCAGTGCCCATGGCTCCACGGCTCGTGACAGCCAGAAAAATGCCAGGGCCTTGTGGGACGAGCCCTTCGCCATGGGGGAGCCGGCCTGCCAGGCGTCCTGTCATGGGGCTTGGCCAGAAATACCCCTGCGGGCACGAGAGCAGGGAGGGAGCAGGAAGCGAGTGGCGGAGAGGCTGAGTCATGGCAGGGCTCACGGGGAATCCCAGGCCGAGATGGCTCCGGGACATCCCGGCTTGGGAGCAGCCGATGCTCCCCACCACCTCCCCACCACCTCCCCACCACCTCGTCCCTGCCGGCAGGCAGCAGGGGGACACGTCCCTGGTGCCTTTCTCCCCGACCAGCTGCAGCTGCAAACAGAGACCTGGGATCAGCCACCAGGCTGTCAGGCTGCTGGGGACAGCCCTGCGAGAGCGTGACAGCGGGATTTTCGTCCCTAAATCCCCCAGCAATCGTCCTCCTGTCCCTCGGACTGCCCCAGCACGAGAAGCACCCGGCGGCAGGCAGCACCAGCATCCCCGGGGGCACAAGGGATAACCCCGAGGCTAGCGAGGACAGCTGAGACACGGGGAGCCCAGGCAGAGCCATAAGGGTCTAAAAACACCCATATCAGTGTGAACCTGTCCCTGGCCACAGCACCCCATCCTGCTCTGCCGGGGTGGGCGACGCAGCAGGGCCGAAGCCCCCCCAGGCACGGGGGGCCGGGGGCCGCCCCGGGCGCGCTTCCAAGCTGGCGCTGAGGCCCCAGCAGCCAAAGAAAGCAGCTGTGAAATGTAAGCGGCTGCCTGTGCCAAGGTGCCGGGCTCCAGCTTTCCTATTAAGGCCAAGACCAGCGCTGGAGCTGCTGCACCCCCCCGGGGGCTCCCTGTGCCACGTCGGCATCCCTCGGCCCGGCCCTCGCCCCGCGTCCCGCGCTGGAGGTGCTGCGGCCCCTGAGGCTGGGATCAAGCCCTGGAGAGGGGTGAAGGCACCTTGGGGGACACACTGCACGTCCCACCATGGAAAAAAACCTCATGGAAGGGAGAAAGAACGGGCCCGAGGGGCAAGCCCAGCCCTGCCCAGCCTCCTCCTGTCTGCCTGGCTGCTAACAAGCCGCCGAGCCGCTGCTCTGTGCCCTCCGGCAGAAGGGAGGAGGCGGCTGAGGGCTGTTAACTCTAATTAACGCTCCGGAATAAGTGAGTAACCCCAACGCCTGGGGACGTGCCCTTTCCGAGAGTGGAAGCAAGCCCCTGTGCTCAGTGCAGAGCCCAGCAGGAGCTGCAGAAGCACGCAGCACGCCCGGCTTTGTCCCCACAGGGCTCGCCCACAGTGACAGCCGGATTTGTCCCCAGCGATGTCCTAGCACAGACCCTTCGGGCTCATGTGGCTGCAGAGGGGACATCTCCTGCCCCACGCATGCAGCCCTCTGTCCCTGTCCCCACTCCTGGTGGCCTCGAGCAGGCAGCAGGGCTGGGCGATGCCGCCGTGTCCCCCCGGCACACTGCCCTGCGCTCAGCCAGCGCCGCCTCCCCAGGCTCCCCGGGGACCCGAGGCATTCGGGGCAGTAGGGAAGTGGGTTACGAGCGCTGTGATGGATCACGAAGCCGCGCTGGCACCGGGATGCCTTTCCTGTCCCCGAGGATGGAGCGGATGGGATGTCCCCTTGCTGCACGGGGACCAGCAGCGCTCCTGGCTGGGAGCTCGTCCCAGACCGACGGCACGGAGCACCCCGGTCTTGTGCAGATACGCATGTGGCTTCCCAGGACACCCGCAGGGGACCACGTGTGTGCCAGCCGAGCCCAGTCGTGCCCTAAGGGATGAGCCCAAGCCGCACTGAAGCCGTGGTGCAGGAGCACATCCCTCCCACGGGCGGTCAGGACAGCCCTGCTGCCTGCACATCACGGCGGCGCTGCTCGGGTTTCACGAGCATCTGCAGCACGGTTTGGGTTTCAGTGATGTGAGCAGGGCCAAGGGGCTGCCGCGGCACAGGGCCAGGACACCTGCTAGGGGCTGAGCCCTGGGGCCGCTCGCTGGTCCCCACTCCGTGTCCCTCTCACCTCTCGGAGCTTGTCCATCTCGTTCTGCACCACCTGCTTGGCCAGCTCCGTCTCGATCAGCCGCTGGCGCAGGTCTTCGTTCTCCTCCTCCAGCCTGATCCTTTTCTTCTCCACCACCTCCAGCTCGTTGTGGAGCCGCACGGAGACGTCCTTGGCCACCTGGGGACACAACGGGGCAGTCGTTGGGCCGGGCACAGCAGCACACTGCAGCCACAACACGAAGACAGGACCTCGTGGGCACCTCCCATCCCCAAACAGCACCCACGGAGCTCACCAGGGTGCTGCCAAGACCCTTGGAGCAGACACCACACTGGGTGACACCCCGTCCCCAGACCACCATTCCCCCTGCCCCTATTTCCAGTGGCCAAACCCTGCTTTCCTCCATCGTATCGTGGTGCTGCGGGATGCTCGTTGCCTTTTTGTGCTTTTTTTCCACGCCACCACACTGGAAAAGCGGCGCCAAAGCCGGGGGCTCACCCCGGCACAGCAGCTGCACGGCTGGGAGGGGGGCGAGCGGAGCAGCCCCGCGGAGAGGGAAAGGCGAGCTGCTGCATCGGGTTACGGAAAAACCTCACAAGAGCCCCCAGAGCCCAGCGTGCCCCGGCTCCAGCCTCTGCGGGAGGCATTGCTGGGGGTCAGCACTGCACGAGCATCCCTGCACAGCCCCGAGCCTCCCCCGGTGCTTGGTCTCAGGCTCCTCTGTCACCTCTCAAAAAACCGAGCTGCTCCTCGAGCCACCCCCCGGCGCCAGGACGTCCCTGGCTGCCACCGCACCCCCCGGCAGCGGCTGTTCAGGACGGAGCACTCAGCAAACACTCCCTGGCACCGGGCTGGCGGCTGGGGAGGGCGAGGCAATGCCACCCCACAGCAGTCACCTTGTCCCCACACCAGCCCAGGCCTCCGCAAGGTTTCCACGATGGCCAAGAGGAGAAGCAGCTCCCAGGACCCCAAATTTTGCGGGAGCTGCACCCCGAGACCTTGCACATCTCACCCCAAACCACTTCGGGACCAATCCCACCTCGCTCCACCCCTTCCCCTGGGCATCCCCCAACACCTGGGGCTGGGGACACGGGGAACGTCGCCCCCCGAGCATCACCTTGACGTCCTGCTCCAGGCTGTGGATGAGCTCGCCGTCCACCTGGCCGGTCTGTGCCACGCGCAGGCTGCGCCGCTCGGCTTTGCGCAGCCGGTACTGCAGGATGCGGCACGTCTTGCTGGCCTGGTCCAGCTGCTGCCGCAGCTCCTGCAGCTGGTAGACGTCCTCCTCCATGTAGACGTCCCTCATCTCCAGCATCTCAGCGCGCAGCTCCTCGATCTCATCCTGCAGGGAGATGCACGTGGCACACGTCAGCCCCCCGCAGCCCGTTTCGCGCTGCCCTGGGATGGCACCGCTGGGGATAGGATGGGACGTGCCAGTGCTCAGCCTGCAGGTGGGGGCTACCACCTCGGTCTCCTCCTTTTCCCCCAGGACACCTCCTTGCTGTGCTCCCCATCCCTCCCCAGCCTTCTTTGCAAATGTTCAACCCCCTGGGTCAAGCCCCCACTGTCCCTGCAAACGGAGCAGTGCTGCTTACACCAAGGCTTGGGAAGACCCCAGACCTACAGCTGGCTCCCTCCTCCACCAGGAAGACCCATGGACACCATCACCCTGCTCTGCACATGGTGGGGACACCCACGGAGCCAGGGGACAGCACTGGACCACCTGCAGCCCGTGCACATCAGCCCAGGAGTTACCGGCGCCGTGCACAGCCCACCTGTGGCACCGAGGAAGCAACCAGAAGCACCCGAGGTGGCTGTGAAATCCCATCCGAGCCCCGCGCAGCCCTGCAGAGCCACACAGCAGGGAAAAGGGGTGGATTTTACAGGGCTTTGGGGGCTGTGGTGGTGCCGTGAAAGCCCCAGCAAGCCAAGGAGCACGTGCACGGCTCCCGGCATCTCCTGCTTAAATAAACCGAAATAAAGAGGAAGATGGGGGAGGAGAGGATTCACTGCAGGAGCAGCCCAGGCAGCAGCCGCAGCGAGAAAAATGTAGGTCGTCTTGGAAAAGATGTGTCAGAAGGAAGGAGGAGACGGCAGGCGCGGAGAGGAGAGGAAAGGCAACGCGGGGACAGGAGCGAGAGGCTGCCAGCACCGGGGACCTGCGGCTTCCCCTCGTTTTGCCCCCGGGCAGCAATCCCCGAGCTGGGTCCTCCTCCACCTCCTGCCCAGCCTCGTTAGCTCTCACCCTGACGGACCCCTCAACCTGGTGAAAAACCCCAACCTCCACCCAAATTTTCCCCGTAAACGCTCCAGCCACTGCAGCGGGTGTTATCTGCCTTGGCAAGACCCTGTATGATCCTGAAAGGGCCCGAGCATCCTTTTCCCTGCCCCCATTTCAACGCGAGATGACAAACTGGGGACGTCACCGAGACAATCCCCGATTATCCCCGAGCCAGCCAGCGCCACGGCGGCCGCGTGGCTTTGTGCTGGGGCTCCGGGGCGGGCAGGAACCGGGGGTGACCCCGAGAGGGAGCAGGGTGGGAGCGAGATGCTCCAGGAAGAGCCGGGATGGCCCCACTGAGGGGCATCAGTGCTGGCACGTGGTGGGCACTTCCCTTGGGCTGGTTCAACCATAAAACCCCGCAGGGACGAGACATGGGATGTGCACGAGGGCTGCGAGGGCTGTGGTGCCCCCCGGGGTGACATCCCCGATGGAAACCCACCACGACCTGGGGAGCCCAGCAGAAGCCCAGACAGCCTGAGGAGCTTTTGGGGTGGGGTTGGGAAGATCTTGGGAGTTTTCATGGAAAAAAACACGTTACACATCACAGGTGAGCAGGCAGCTTGCAGCAGGGCAGGGGAAAACAACAGCTTGTGAGCAGGGACTGCTGGAGGGCAGATCCTGCACGGCAAACGCGAGCACTGGAAAACCAAACACCCTGAAGTGCCTGCGAGAAAAGAAGGGGGCATGAAATCAGACGGGGGACTGGTGGCTCAGGAAAGCTTCCACCACCGAAGGAATTCAAACACCTGAACACGGCTGCAGGGGCAGCCGGGGCGCTGCACAGGACGCTTCCCCCGCGAGGCCGGCTGCGCTGCTAAGCCCTGGTAACTGGATTAGGGTGGGAGAGCAGAGAAACGCCACCAGGCTGGGGGAGAGCTTAGGACGACCGAGCTGATGCCCTCGCAGGCAGAGCAGCCCCGTGGCACCACCAGACAGGCTGGAGGAAGCTCCTGGGAATGGCATCTTTGCAAAATCCAACCAAAAAACCCAGATGGAGGCGAGGACAGAGCCAGCAGCAGGGAGAAACCCTTCGGAAACAGCCCAAAATCGGGGCTGCCATTGGAAGCGTGGAGCACCGTAAAGCAACGCTGAACAAAGCAGTGCCACGGAGACGAGGAGGGCGAGGAGAAGCAGGGGGAATTCCCTCGGCCATTCCCCCGGTAACACAAGGCACCACTTTCACCCAAAGCCCCTGCGACCCTCGGAACAAGTGGGTCTTTTGGTGATGTCCCCGCAGGGTGGCACAGCCGGAGCAGCTCGCAGCTCCCCGGCAGGATCCCACCCGGTATTTAGAAGCAGAAAGCAGCAGGAGATGCAAAACAGAGCCACGCAAACAGCGGCACCGCTGCCAGCGCCGGCACCGCCAGCTTTGGGGCGCAGCCAAGCAGCAACCGCTGGCACCCAGGGAGCAGCGCCACGTGAACCCCAAAAAGCACCATGTGCACCCCAAAACCTCAGGTGTGGGATGCAAAGGAGGAGAGGGGAAGGACTCGAGCCGTGGGGTTGTTTTGCATCGGGGCCTTTGTGCCCGGCGCCTGCCGTGCCCGTGCCGAGCCGGGGTCACCGCCCAGCAGCAGCAGGCACCGCTCCCTCCCAGATTACAGGGCACGAGCAGCAGCTTCCAATTAACTCCGAGCCCCCGCCAGACAGAAGAGGGAATTATGCTGTAACTTGTTAGGGGAAAAAAATAAAAATCAATATAAAATCAGACTGGATTTCTAAGGGAAATTATTCAGGATGCCCTGCCAGCGAGGGGGTCCCAGCACAGCGCTCGCCCCCAGTGGGGTGTGGGGTCAGCGAGGGACGCCCCACAGGACAGCCCCGGGGGTTCCTTTCGGTGCAGAGCAGCAGCTCTGAGAGCAAACATCAGCCTCCCTGCCCTCGCCTTGCACCCTTCAGCGAGGGAAAAAAAAAACACAGTTCCCAGCTTTCCACCTGCCCCTGGAAATTCAGAGGCAAACAGCCACGGGCTCGCTGCCGGCTGGGCAGGACGCTGCCAAGCCCCTCGCAGGGCGGCTGCTGGGGGGGCTCCCACCATCAGCACCTCGAGCTGCATCCCACAGCACCCACGGCAGGGCCTCAGGAGGCCGGCTGGGACAATCCCAACCCAAATCCCCAACCCGAAAAGCAACGCGTGGGCCCCAAGGGCAGCGGCTGGCAGCGGCAGCCCTGTGGCTCATTTCGGCACTGCTGGTGTTTTTCTGAAAGCCTTTGTCAATTTTTTTTTTTTTTTTCCCCTTCCAAGCCTCGAGAAATCGCTGCTGTGAGGGGAAGCGGCTGAGGCGTGCTTAAATATGTACATTTGATTATCACGGCCGGGGAAGGAGGCGACACGAGCCGGTGCCTCGCCCTGTCGAGGTTCAGCAGCCCACCGTGGCGTGGTGGCACCCACACAGCCCCCGGGGACACCGGGGTGCAGCCGAACGCCCTCCTGCCCCAAACCCTCTCCTCTTTAAGCACGAATTTCACCTGGCTCCAACAAATTAAAACGTCACCCGCAGCTATTCTGATGAGTCCTAGGAGGTGTCACCGCCGACAAGTCGGGTTCATCGGTATCCGAGGGGAGGGGAGCTGCTGCCTCTGTAGGGTCCCTGCTCGCTGCTCGACAGGGACAGGTCCCACTGTCATTTGGTTTAGGGTTGGCTTTTTTTGCTCTAAAGCCCCAAACCCACGGATTCACAGCCAAGCCAGCAGCTCCCCGGACCCTGCTGCAGCCCAGCCCCATTTTCTGCTCCTTGCTGGAGAAGCCGGGCACAAACTGCCCAGCGACCTCTACTTCGGTTTTTGGAGCCCCACGGGTGCACGTGGCTGGGGTTTCTGCCCAGCTGGAGCCGGCGTGTTGTGCCTTCAGGCTGGGAGAGGGGAGCAAAACCCCCGAATTGCTGCTTCCCTACCCCGTGGGGCAGCGGGGAACCGTGGGGGACAGCTGGTGGGACCTGCACGGACATCCTGACCGCAGCTGGGGGGGACATCAAAGTCCCTGAGATGGCCCCAGGCGCCGTGCCCTGCCTGCCAGGGACTGAGGCTGTTGCTGCTCGTGGCTCACAAAATACCCCGAGCCCTCCAGGCCCGCAGCTCGCCGTGAAGATCACGTGAAGATGGAGTAAGCAAGCGTGCGCTCGGCCGGAGCAGCAGCGTTTTCACACGCATTCTTGGAAACCGGAGGGGCCTCATCTGTATTTTTCCAGCTCTCAGTAAATCAAAGCCCTTAAGCTCTTGCTGCTAATTCTGGCAGGAGTTTGGACACCAGCTGCGAGCTGGGGCTTTGCTAATGGACAAAGGGCCTGGCTGAGCATCTCCGGCGCGGCACCCAGCGCCCAGCCTTCACCTCGCAGCACTAATCCCAGCGCATTCACAAACTCTGGCACCTGTGCTCGGGAGCTGGCCCGTTTTCCAACCTGCCACATCGAAGGAGAAGCCACCGAGCCTGCCATCGCCTCCTGTCCCCCTCCCGAGGTGTTAGTGCAGCCCGGGTGATGGCACAAACATCTCACCCAGAGCTGCACCCTGAGGAGAAGCAGAGGATACAAAGCACCCGCAGCCTGTCCACTGTTTGTGCCTCTCTGTGTCCCCAGCCCCTCGTCCCCAAGCCCGTCCTGGCTCCACCACGTGCCCGCGAGCCAGCCAGGCTGGAAAAAGGCCCCGGGGAGCTGGGGGCCCCGTGGAGAGCGAGCACAGGGACCGGTGGAGGGAAATGAGCTGGAAAATCTTCTCCTCGGGGCCTGGCAGCGTCAGCAGGCAGAAAGGACAGCAGCAGCATCCCACCCTGCGCCGTGCCGAGCTGTGCCACAAGCTGGGCCGTGCCGAGCTTGGGTTTCTCCACGCTGAGCTGAGCTGAGCCGAGCCAAACCAGCCCATCCCCAGCTGCACCAGGCTGAGCTGAGCTGGGCTCAGCCACGCCGTGCCAGGCCATGCCTGGTGATGCCATGCCAGGCCCAGAAGAGCCAAGCCCTGCCCCTGGGCATGACACCAGAGCGAGCCCTGCCAGGCCGTGCTCAGCGATGCCCTGCCAGGCTGGGCCAGGCCACGCTGGGCTGAGCTGAGCCGTGCCCACCTGTGCCATGCCCAGGGACGTGACCCATGCTGTGCCAGGGGATGCTGTGCCTTGCCCAAGGATGGCCAGAGATGCTGAGCTGCACTACACCCAAGGATGCTGTGCCATGCCCAGGGATGTCACATCACGCCAAAGCATGCCATGACCAGCGATGCTGCACCACAACCAAGGGTGTCCTGGGATGAGATGCCATGCCCAAGGATGCCATGGGATGCCCGAGGATGTCAAGAGATGCTGTGCCATGCACAAGGATACCCAGGGGTGCTGTAACACGCTCATGGGTACCCAAGGATGCCCAAGGACCCTGTGCCATGCCCAGGGATGCCAGGGGACACTGTGCCATGCCTGGGGATGCCCTGGGATGATGTGCCATGCCCAGGGACACTCTGTTATGCCCAGGCACACCCAAGGATGCCCAAGGAAGCCCAGGGATGCCCTGGGACCCTGTGCCATGCCCAGGGATGCTCTGTTATGCCCAGACACACCCAAGGAAGCCCAGGGATGCCCAAGGATGCCATGCCATGCACAAGGATGCCCAGGGATGCTGTGCCATGCCCAGGGAGGCTCCGTTCTGCCCAGGCACACCCAAGGATGCCCAGGGAAGCCCAGGGCTGCCGTGCCATGCCCGGGGACCCCCTGTCGCGCCCGGGGGGGGCCGTGCATCACCTTGAGATAGTCGTTCTCGGAGCGCAGGTCCTCCAGCTCGCGGAGCAGCCCGTCGGGGCCGGCGTCCAGCAGCTCCTCGGTGAGGTCGGAGAAGGCGAGCGAGGCGCTGAGGCGCAGCCGGCTGCTGGCCATGGAGCCGGCCGAGGGCTCGTCGGGCAGAGGCGAGGCTTCTCCGGCCGAGGGAGGCGGGGGGCAGCCCCCGGGGCTCTCCCCGTCGCTGCCGCTCAGCTCCAGCGACGGCAGCTTCGCCTCCTCCGAGGCGCTGCCCTCCGACGCCTCGGAGCCGCTGTCGCTCAGCCCGCAGCCGGGCCCCGCTCCCGGCGCCGACCCCGACCCCGCTCCCGGCGTTGCGGCGGCGCCCCCCGCCCGCAGCCCCCCGGCCGCCGGCCCCGCCCCGCGGCACCTCCCCTTGGCCCGGGGCGCCCCGCGGACCGACGGCCCCCCCCGGCCGCCCCCTCCCCGGCCCGGGGCCGCCGCCGCCGCCGTCGCTCGCGATCGCTTCTCGGCCCTCGCCTCCTTCCCTGCGCCGCCGCCGCCGCCTCCCGCTCGCCGCGGGGCCGCCGGGGGGTGCGCGGAGCCCCCCCGCCGGCTGCGGGGCAGCGCCCAGCCCGGCAGCTCCTTGGGCCGGGCGGGGGACGGCGCCCGCTGCAGCTTCTTCTTCTCCGGGAGCGGCGGAGGAAGAGGAGGAGGAGGAGGGAGAGGAGGAGGAGGGGGGGGAGGAAGGGGAGGCGGTGGGGGCAGCCCCCGGGGGTCCGGCTGCGGCCCCGCGGCCTCCATCTCCGTGCCCGTGGCCCCGCGGCGCGGCGCTGGGCTCGGCCCCGGCTGCGGCTGCGGCCCCGGCTCCGCCCGCCCCCGCCGCCGGGCGGGGACGCGCACGGGCGGCGAACAAAAGGCGGCGGAGAGGGGGGGGGTGAGGGGACGGGGGGGCCGCGCTGGAGGCAACAGCGACCCCTCCGCCCGCCCCCGGCAGCCGCGGGGTAAGGGGGGGGGGCGGCCCCGGGGTAAGGGGGCTTTGGGGTGGCCCCAACACCCCCCGAGCATCCCTATGGGTGCGGGGCTTTGGGGTGGCCCCAACACCCCCTGAGCATCCCTATGTGTGGGGGTCTTTGGGGTGTCCCCCCCTTGCACACACCCTCCCAAGCATCCCTATGGGTGCAGGTCTCTGGGGTGCCCCCCCAACACCCGCGAGCATCCCTATGGGTGAGGGTTTGGTGGCCCCTTCTCCCATCTTCCCCCCCCCCAAAGCATCCCTATCGGTGGGGGGTTTGGTGGTGTCCCCCCAACACCCCTGAGCACCCTTATGCATGGGGGTCTGGTGGTATCCTGCCCCCCCCCAACACCCCTGAGCATCCCTATGGGTGGGGGGTCTCTGGGGTACCCCCCCAACACCCCCGAGCATCCCTATGGGTGGGGGAGTCTCTGGGGTACCCCCCCAACACCCCCGAGCATCCCTATGGGTCAGGGGGCTGGTAGTGTCCCCAAGAACAGGGGTACCCCCATGGGTAAGGGTTCCCCATGGTGTCACAAGGGTTGGGGGGGCCTGGGAGATGCCTAAGGATGAGGGTTCCCCGGGGCACTGCAGGTCCCCCGGGTGTCCCTGCAAGCGCGGGTCCCCCGGGGCAGCCTTGGAGGGGAGGGTCTCTGGGGTATCCTCAGCAGTGCAGGTCCCGAGGTCCCAGGGGGGTTGTTTGGGGTCCCCAGGGTCCCCTTAGGATGAATGGGACCCCCCCAGTCATGGGGGTCCAGCAGGGCACCGCTGTAAGCACAGGGCATCCTTGGAGACAAAGCTCCCTGGGGTACCCCAAGGGTGGGGGCTCCCCCGGGGACCCCCCCCCACGCACCCCAGGGCATCCTGCCAAGCCACCGGGGCGCACGCGGCCCCATGGTGCTGCTGCACGGTGCCTCTCGGGGAGGGGGGGGAGCTCCAGCAGCGCGCGCTCCCACCCAGCGGCACGCGTCTGGTACGTTAACAACCCGGCCCCAAACCCACGGCGAGCATCCAAAGGCTGGGTTTGAAAAATGCTCCCGCGTGCCTGCGCCCGCAGCAGCGCAGCACGAGCGTGGTGGCCGGACGCGTCCCTGCAGCAGGAAGCAGAGCCCCGGCCCCCTGCGCCGAGCAGTTTGGGCTCTGCGTGCAGGGCACCGTGACCCCACAGCACCAACACGACCCCAGTGCACCCACATCGCTGCCCCGGGGGGCAAACCCGAGCCTGGCCAGGGCGCAGAGCCCTGCACGGACCTCAGCCAGCTCCGGCTGAGTCCCCGTGTCTGCAGCAGGTATTTTGGCTGTGAGTAACGGTGAAATGGTGAATGGGGGCTACCCCCGTGTGCCAGGGAGTGACCGACGTGCTGTCCCCACCAGCCTCGCTGGGGGACTCGCCTGTCCCAGCACTGTGCCCAGCGAGGCCGTGCTGGTCCCTTCTGTCCCCAATGTGGCCGCAGGAGGCACAGCCCCCCCAGCAGCAAGCAAAGGGCTGTGGCCCCAGCTCGTGACTTCCAGCATCGCTCCGTGGGTCTGGTCCTGCTGCACAACTGCCCCGTGCGGGGTGCCGTGCCCTGACTGCCCAGTGCAGCGCTCATTAACGAGGATCGTTAGCGTTCCATCGAGCAGTGGTTAATTGCACAACACGAGGCACGCCGTGTGCTGCCCTCACCAAGCCATGGCGCAGCGGGGGGGGGTGAAGGGGCCTGATGCCATGTCCCAACCCTGCGCTGGGGACAGCCCCCGTGGTGCCATGAGGATGGGGCACGTGCTGTGCTCCCAAAACTGCCCTGAGCGCTGGATGAGCTGGGGCTGGGGCTCCCTGGTGTCCCCCACCAGCCAGACTGGCGCAGCACAGTGGGTGCGTGGCTTGCACGCTGTCCCCAGCGCTGCCACGTGCTCCCAGGGGACACGGTGTGCGTCACCACGTGCACAGCCCCGGCGTGCAGTGGCACACGTCACATCCAGGGCACCCTGCTCATAGCCGGGTGTCCCCAGGCTGTGCACCCAGAGCCTCCCCACACCTCCCCACAGCCCAGGTGAGAGCGCAGCCAGCCACGCCAGAACTGCTGCCCCAGGGGAAAAGCACTCAAAGGCAGGGACAGGTTTGGGGTGGAGGAGGGAGGGACGCTAACAGGCCTCAAAATGCTCCCTGGGGCTGGAGTCCATGCAGGCAGCCAGGATTAGAGCCAAGCCAATGCCGCCCCGAGCCAGGCGCCCGCTCCTGCGCTCGCCACCCCCTTGGCACGGTGGCAGGGATGAGCTGGGAGACACCGAGCCAAACCCATCTCATCCAGGGGCTGGTTTAGCGGCTGGCCTTGAACTAGCTGATCCCGGGGGGGAATTATTCAATAAATTTGAATTAAAAGCGGGCGGGCGGCTTTCTGAAGCCTCTGGAAGAAAAGCAATGAGCTTAAGCAGCCCCCTGGGCCCTGGGGAGGTCTGGCTGGCAGCCAGCCGGAGCTAGGATGCGGCACGGCCGCGGGCAGCGCCGAGCAAGGCTCCGCTCAGCCTCCCCGTGCCCACCTGAGCACCCTGCTGGATCAGGCCCCGGGCACTGACTGCTCCCGGCTCCCTCCCTGCTGGCTCCCCTCCAGACCTCTGAGGCCGCTGTCAAGTGCATTTTGGGTTAAGATGCTAAAGAGCTCATAGCAAAGAGCCCTGGAGCAGCAGCAGCAGCAGGTGTAGCCTCCGAGGCTGCAGCAGGTCCCCAGGTGCTGGCCCAATTCCTACCAGCTCGACCCAAAGCCAAGGCGCTGAGGATGCCATAATTTCTTTGGGAGGGGAAAAATATTCACAAGTCCTTAGCGTTTGGCATCTCCCGTATACAAACTGCACCTGAAACCACCATCAAGCACCTACGTGAGTATTTGAACGGCAGAAATCCCAGGGGGTCATTTCCAAACACCCGCACGCACCGCCTCGTGTAAGCACCATGCGTGGATGGGGTTTTTGCTTGTTTTTTGGGGACGAGGATGGGGATGTGCCACCAGGGGAGCAGCCAGCACCTCGGGGAGGCTGAGGCCTGTGGGGACGGAGGTGCCGGGCCCCCTGCCCAGCCGTGCTGTGATGCCGTGCTCGCCCCCAGCTGTGCCAGCCGTGCACGTCCCCGTGCTGCTCCAGGCAGCCTCGCACCGAGGCCGGCTCTGCGGCAGCCATAGCAACCTGGGCTGCCTCCCTTCTCCACCTTTCCCAGCACGGATAATGCTGATTTCTCCCAAATTTGCTGCTGCCTGAGACATACCAGCAAAAGCCCAAGCACAAGACAGGGAACAGGGGCTGATGTGCCCCCTGAGCCCTAAGCTGCGCCCCGCCACCCGGCTCTCTCCGCGCAGCGGGGTGGGGAGTGCTGCCTGCCTGCAAGGGGAGGAGAGGAGGGAGGAAAAGCCAAGCACCAGCAGCACGGCTTGGCACAACAGAACACGAGGGTGTTTCTCATCCAGACGGCTGCTGGGGTTTGGAGATGAGGTCCTGAGTCGGGGAATGGCCACAGGGGATTTGGGGGGATTCAGAGCAGCCCCGTAGATGCTGACAGCGCCCCGCTTTCCCAGGCACGATACCAGCATCTCCCCAGCCTGCCCTGAGGTGTGAGAATACCGAGGGATGAAGCAAACACAAAACCCACCCTGGGCTCCCCTTCACGTGCTCCGGGGGGCTCTGGGCTGTGCCGCTGCCGCTCCGAGCCCCCCTTTGCAGCAGCAGCAGGGGGCTCCCAGCCTGTCCCCCCCACCTCGCTCCTCCCCGGGGGAGCTGCTCCGCTGCCACAGGGACATCGCCAGGGCTCAGGGGCTCCTGCCACCCCCCAGCCTTCTCCCGGCCCCAAAGCAAGCCCAGGTCCCTACGGGGGTGCTGCGATCCCCGCCCCAGCAGCGCCTCCCGCCCCGTTCCTCACCCGGCATTGCCGCCTGGTGCCCGAGCGGAGCAGCGCAGCTCCCCGGCGGTGCTTGAAGCAAGCTCCGGGCTGCAGTTCCTCAAAAACAGGGCACGGAAAGCAGGCAGCAAGGGGAAGCGAGGCAGGAGGGGTTGTGCACGTCGCTGTGCCCGTGTCGGTGCTGGGAGGGCCGGGCTGGAGCCTGGAGCTGGCCGGGGCAGCCCAGAGGCTGAGCCGGGAGCGCGGCTGCTCCAGCTCCCCGCAGCCAAAAACTGCTGGGGGGGGACAGCAAACCCAGCCCTCAGCCAGAGGGTCAAACACAGATGAGGAACAATCAAAACAGATTCGTCTCCTTCCCTAACTCGGCTGCCGAGAAGCCGTACCAGCGCTCAGACCTCTCGGGTTTGACCCCTGGGCGAGCCCCCTGTGCTCACACTTGCCTTTGGGAGAGGATTTGGCAGCCAGGAGCACGGGGCAGCCCCTGGGCAGGACTGCAAAAGCCACCAAAGCCTTGCTGAGATGAGGTCCCTTAAGGAAAGACAGAGGCTGC